AGCTGTGGGCAGAGGAGGTGTGTCTCACCCCCACCATGCCCAACTTGTGAAAGCTTTTGCCAGCCTGAACCACAGGAATTCTCTATCACTTTAGTCTTCATCAGTTCATACAGGTCTTCCCGTATTTCTCTGAATTCCTCTTAGTCATCATGTCATTTCTTAAGGCCTAATGATAATCACTCATAGGCCACAGTTTATTTGGTCATTCCACAGTACTTATTCTGCTTCCAACATTTTGGCCGCCATAAAGAATGCTATGAATTTTTTTTTTTAACATATAGGATCTTTCTTTTTGTCACACCTAATATATACATTAACAGTGGGCTCAAAAGGGAATAAAGAGTTCAGTGTCTTTTCTTATGTTTTCCAGAATTCCAATTTTTCCAGAATGATCCACAAGTGGCCTCCAGACCCGTAGGTTCCCCACCCCTGGACCAGTTTACAATTCAATTAAGTGTGGAAGGATGCTTGTTTTCCCTTAGCCCCTGCAACACTGACCTTTGTTGCCTGTTATCTTCATCAGTTCTAAGGAGTCTGAGGGTGTCAACAGCCTTTCATGTAATTACTGATTTTAATTTCTTCTTTTGAGAACTGTTGGTTCACAGACTATTAGAGACTGGCTTTGACCATTAGAGAATGGCTTTTTAATGTATTTTAAATGTCTATTTCACTGTAAGGGGGGAAGTGACACAGTTAAACTTGTACTTTAGGAAGAGTATTTTGACAGCTGTGGAGACTAGAGGGAGGGAGAACACCAGAAGTAGAGGTTAAATAAGGTTTTACTGAACTAGTCCAAGTAAGAAGGGTTGGCAAACACTCCACAGCAACAGTGTGTGGAGGGAAGGACACAGATGTGAGAGATGCTTTTCAGAAAGAATTTACAAGGCCTGTCAAATGACTAGATATGGAGGTGGTATCTAGGATGACTCCAAGGTTTCACATTTGGGGGACTAGACAGGTTGGGATGCCTCTAACAGAGATAGGGAAGTTTGGTGGAGGGGTAGATTTAGGGGAAAGGAATAAATATCTATGTGGTACTGGGTACGGAGCTAAATGCTTTACAAATATTATCTTATTTGACCAGGGGGCTGGTCAAATGAACCATTTTGGACGTATTGAGCTTGAGGAGCCTGGAGAAATCCAGGTGATATCTAGCAGGCAGTTCGTGATGTTCAGGAGACATAAGAGGGCTGGGTAGATGGAAATGGTAGTTATCTGAAGAGAGATTACCTCTGGGCCCTTGAAAGCTGAAAAGATTTTATAAAAAGAAGCTTTTTTCCTTCTTTGCATTAGTGAGGGACCATGGAAGTGAAGCATTAATTATAAAATCAGGCTTTTTTAATATGTTGGGTTAATTTTGCAGATCTTTTTTTCTTCTCTTTTATTCTTTCTCATAAGGGAGAGCTATCTGGGAGAGAAGGATACAATGTGTGGGTGATATAAAAGCCAAATCTATCAACAGAAGTCTAGAGATAGGAGGACAAACTTTGGAGGACCTCCATAGTTGGGTGGTAGGACACATACAATGATTCAGCCAAGGACACTGAAAATCAGAGACAGAGGCAGGGAAGAAGATCAAGAGAGAGCAGCATTACAGAAGGCAAGATGGGAGAAGAGAGTATCCAGAAGTAGGGGAGTGGCTAAGTGTCAAAAGCTGCAGTGAGGTCCAGAAGGATGAGAACTGAGAACAGGCCATTAGATTTATCAAATAGTTTATTGCTAATATTGAAGAAATGGAGAAGTTTCAGAAGTGAAGGCAATTTCAGAAGGTGAAAAAGTGGAGGCACCAAGTACAGATAGCTTTTCCTGGAAGTTTGCCCAGGAAGGGATAAAAGATATAGGCTGGCAGACTGAGGGGTGACAGCATTAAGGGGAGTTAAGGATGGGGGAGCCAGTAAATAAGGAGAAACTGAAGATGAAAGAGAATGAATGATCAAAGAGGTGGGCTTGGGAGGAGGGGGAGGGGGAATAATGAGTTATTTTGTACTTATTGAATCTGGAGGGTCTACAGGACACCCAGGTGGAGATACCCATGACATCAGAGTGGAACATTAGGAAAATGACTCAGGCAGTGGTATGAAAGAGAGACTGCAAAGGGGATCAACTCTAAGCAAGAAGATCAGTTAGGAGGGAGGCGGTAGGAGGGACTGAAGGGCAGTGGTTGTAGTGGGAATGAAGAGGGGCTGGATAAAAATATGTGGAGGCAGAAACATTAACTTGGCAACGGGTGGGACATGTGGGATGAGGGGCTGGGAAGAGTCAAAGTTGACTCAAGGTTAAACTGAACAGCCCTGGTGTGACTACGAAGGCATCTTGACCTTGCAGAAAATCCTCATTCTAATTCTCCCCCATACATAGCAACACTTTGAAGAACCAACCGAAACTGTGAGAAAGTACCTACAGACTTGAACTCTCAAGTTTTCTAGGCACCTCCTCATCACAATATCTTATTCATACTCAGTGGAATGGGACAAGGACGTCTCCTCCCATCCCAGAGCACTGAGCTGGAAGAAGCTCCTGAGTCCCAGCTCTCCCAAGCAAAAAGCTCAGATGTCAGCTTCTCAAGCCTGTTCTTAATCACAGTCAAGTTAATGAGGCCAGAGACTGATCCAACAGGAGGAATTTGAGTGTTTAGAGCATGTGATCACCAGGCCAAGGTGAAGCACCGCCCTACTAGTCTGAACAGGAAGGAGGGTCAGGGAATCTGAAAAGGGTCTCCCAGAATGGAAGGAAAGAAAGAATGTTTCCTATTACAGTGGCCAGTCAACTCCCCATTACCCAAGCTGATGAGAGGCTAACTAGTTTAGTTGGTTAGACCCTGATTCTACTGAGGCCAAGGTCACGGGACTAATCCCTGTGTGGGCTACTTTGCTTCACTCTCTTCTACGTGGAGGAGCTCTGGTGTGACTATTTATGAAGGCACATTGACCCAGTTTGCAGAAAACCTTTATTCTAATTCTCCCCTTCATGAAGCAATACTGAGCTGATTCAACTGAAACTTCAGTTTTCAAAAGGGCAAGGGTCAATGTGTCTGTACCCCTAATATTGCAAAAATGTGCTACTGGTTGCTCGAATTATAGCATTAAGTATTATTATACTTAAGCATTATTATTAAGTATTATTACTTAAAACAGTGGCTTAGATAATTCTTCCCTGTTACATTGTAAACTCCTTGAAGGCAGGAACTGTGTCACTTAGTCTTTATATCCCTTGTATTTAGCATACATAGCTCTTGGCAGAGTCTATGCACTTAATTAATGTTGACTGTCACTTAATATCTTTGGATCCCAGTTTTCCTCATCTATAAGCCTAAATGCAGTACTAAACAGCCTTTAACGTCTTTTCAACTACAATATTCCAAAGAATGTGGCTTTTCCAAGAACAATGAGAGTTGGATGACCAGTGAAAACCCAAGACTGGGAAAGATTCAAAAGTGTAAACCCTCCAGAAGAAGAGTGGGACATCCCCTGGCCCCTGGATTATCCTCACTTTCCCAGCCAAGGCTCAATGAACCAATTTTTCCTTTGCCTTTTAGCATCCCAAGTGGGGAAGGAAGTTGGATTGGAAGGATTCTAAATTCTCTTCTAGCTCAAAATCTATGATCCACCTAAAGATAGAAGGAACCCCAGGGACTAGATCTGTGATTTCATTCATACAGGGTAACTCCTGGATGAGGAAATTCCCTCTACCAACACAGGTTGGAACTTTCTCTGCCAACCTATAGCATGCTACTGCCTGAGGCACTAAGAGTAATGTGTAATGTCAAAAGTGGAATTTGGACCCACTATTCCACAACACCTTCTGCCTTATTTTAGTATCTTAACATCTGTTAAAAAGGTTTGAGGGAAAGAACTTACTGGCAATAAAGAAACCTAGGGCTGTATTAATAAAGGTGAAGTCAATTTTACATAGCTACTCTCACCTGAAATGCCAGGATGAGCTGTTTGTTCACTTTTTAACTCACAAAAGAAAATTGTTTTTTTCCCTCTAAACAAAGTTAAACTACTGATACTAAATGGGTGTTGAAGAGAAAACACAACTAAGGTTGTAAAAAGAAAATTCCAAGACTTTCCAACACATAAAATTTATACAAACATTTTAAGTGGTTTAAATAAAACTGCTCTTCAAGTAGAAGAAAATACTCAGTAGCTCCTATTCCCATTCTCAAATCAAATAAGGGAAATCTGTTTTATCAGGCCCATTGGAAGTCAAAGGTAATCAGGAAACTATAAGTTCTATTTCCTGAGGAGTAGGCATTGGTCTATGCCATTAGGAAAAAAAACTCATCTTCCCTCTATCAGAAAAAGCCCTTATCATTTTTAAATGGGGGTACCAGCACAGACAGGTGCTTCCAGCATATCTGTTCCATTTTAGCTTTCCAATGCCCATATGGAGATGGGGGGTGGGGGTGGAGAAGAAAGGAGAGAATAAAGGGTGAGATAGAGATCATATTTCATCTTGCTTCATGTTTGGTTACCTTTCCCCACCTGCTTCCCCCTTCTGCCACTAGCCTTGGCCACCGAGCTTTGTGTCTCCTTTACTAAGAGCCTAGCTTTCTTTCCCCCAAGGCGTCTGCAGCAGTCAATTTAATTGGCTTGTGGGTTGGGTAGTCAGCCCCCTGGATGCAGACTCACATCCCACGGCGATTAGTTGTTTTTTAGGAGGGCTTTTTGTTTTATTTCTTCTTTTTTCCTTTTTTTTTCTTTTTTTTTTTTTGCTTTCCAAAGTCCCTAAATTCTAAACACCAAGAGTTATCAATACGCACAAAGATCTGGCTAGAATTTCACAAGACAGTCATTTCTGCCTCATTCGAGGTGTGGAACAATAAATGAGCAAGACAGAGACCACGAATAAAAGAAAAGTCGGAGTTCAGAGTTGTCACCCGGCAGAACTGAGCTCAAGGACTACAGCGGGAGGGCGAAACGAGGAGTCAACAATCCCGTCACCCCTAAAAGAGCAGCTCGGCCGGCAAAGGAGGGGGGTGGCGGCAAGAAACTGACCTTTTCTCTGAGCGTACAGTGGATATCCAATGCCAGGTGTCCTTCCCACCATCGCTCATCCATCCTCGCTTCTCTCTGCTGGGGTTCGGGGCTGCCGGGGATCTCAGGGCGCACCTGGGCACAGGGAGACAACTTTAACTGGGGCTGTGGGACGCCCCACTTCGCCGATCCCGAGCTCCCGCCCCCGCCCCCAGCCCCTCCACCTTCTCCAGCGGGGCAGTGCACTAGAGGGGCTCCGGGCTGGTTCTCGAGCCCCTGGAACCCTGGGCATCTTCCCCCGCCCCACCCCCATTTTGCTACCTGCAACGCCACCTCCCCTCTGGCTCTGCTCTCCCGGGCCCTGGGCCCTTTTTTTTTTTTTTTTTTTTGGCAAGTTGTAAAGTGGGAAGATAGTAAAGAAAACTTGCCGGCTCCGCTAGCTCAGCCCCGGGCTGGTGCTCCGGGCAGCTGCTCTCCCCGCCCCCTCGGGCAGCCTTTGTCCTACTCCCACATCCTGCCCCGGGAGCTGAGGCGAAACTCACGCATCCCTATCTAGGCTGCAGGCGCCGGGGGCTGCAGCCGCGGGCAGGCAGCTTCCCCGCTCCGGGAGCCCAGCACTAGACCGGGCGCCGCCCGCGCCACGGCCGGCTCCGCTCCGCAGCCGCGCAGGGCTGGCCCCAACGCCAGCCAGTGGCCGCTGCAAGCCCGAGCCCACTTTCGGCCGCGGTGCCCAGCGCACACAGGTCCCACGGCAGCTGGCTCCCAGCTCCGGCAGCGGTCGCCGGGGACCTCCCTCCCTCCCTCACTGGGGGAGTTGGGGGCCGCCCCTCGCGCGTGCGCCGCCTCTCCGGATCCCAGGGGGTTGATGGGGATTGTAGTCCCGCGCCTCATGCGCCCTCCCTTCTCCTCCCGGCCCCGCCTCCAAGCTTTCTCTAGCCTTCCCACGCCGCGTTAGGTTCTGGAGTCATAAGTCTTGGGCACTGCTCGGTCTACCTTTCTTTCGAGCACTAAGCTTCCGCCCTAAGCCCTGACTCTCAGGCCCTTGCTCCTTTCTAAGTTTGCATCCCACTGACCTTCTTTGGAAAATGTTCCATTGCCGGCGCCTGCGGCTTTGGGGAATCATCCATCCAGGGACTGTCTGAAATCCTTTCCTGCAACCCTTAGAGCTGGAGCATGGGGAGTGGGCTTCTTCACGCTCAGATAAAATAATTTCTGGATCAGTGGAACCCCTTGGAGCTCGCCCTCTCCTTTTCTTTTTGGTCGGGACGTCGGATTTCATCAATGGGCAGTTATCTTAAGAGAGCCGCCAGGGAAACTGAAGCTTACTAGATGCTCACTAGTATGGGGTGGAGGCAGAATTTGCACCCAGCTCTTACGGACTCCACCCCACCTCCAGCCCCCTTCCTGCCTTTCTATACAATACCCTACCCTATGACAAGCCACCTCTCGGCTGGGTGCCTTAACGCAATCCTTATACTAGAATAGTTAATCACGGAATCACTAAGCATACCACGTGGCCACACAAGTTAATGACTTTAGTGGATTTAAATACTTTGAGGTAAGGGAGAAGAAACTCGATTAAAGGACCCTGCCAGACCACCCCTCCCCACTCCCTAGTCCTCATTCCTATCGGGCCCATTCTTCTCACCTCCTCACCCTAAAGGTGGTGGGAGCGATATCTAAGGCTAAAGATGCTGGTTAGGCTAGTTCTTCCTTGAAAAGGCCTCGGAGTTTATGTAGTTGGCTCAGGGAAATAGGTCTCAGGCCATTGACAAGGTCTTCTTCAATTCAGTCCAACTCAATACGCATTAATTAAGCGCCTAGCAGGTGCCAGACACTATACTCAGCGCTAGAGATACAAAAAGAGGCAAAAGACATCCCCTGTCCTCAAGGAGCTTATGATCTAATGGGGGAGATGTAGAATTAAATATATACAGAGCAAGCCATATACAGGATAAATAGGAAATAATTAACAGAGGAAAGGCACTAGAATTAAGAAGGGATAGGGAAATCTTCCTGGAGGAGGTGGGATTTTAGTTGGGACTTAAAGAAAGTCAGGGAGCATGGTAGTCAGATCATAGGAGTCAGAGCATTCCAGGCACGGGAGGAGGGGGGGGGGCACAGAAAATGCCCGGAGTATCCCGAATACAAAAAAACCCCACCAAGGGCTTCTTGATGTTTTACTGATAAACCACCATGAGCAACAACTCAGCTGAATGTAAGAGGACGGTATCCTGGATAAAGATCTGAGTTGATAATCCTTACCCTAAGTAAATCTTTTGTTAACTGTCAGCTACTCTGAGTATTTTGTTCCAAGAGGTTCCAAATCAGAAATGAGGTATCAAATACATCATTTCACCCTGCCCTTCCTTGCATTCCATTATACCTTATGGAAGGCCCAATTAATTGTTAAGAAACTTCATGATACACACATACAACCCGTTATAATGTTTCCTCTCACACGTGCATCTCTTTGCAATCGGGGAAAACTGCTCAATTGTTTTTTGTTTCTGTTTTTGGTTTTTTTTTTTCCAGTCATGTCTGCCTCTTCATGTCCCCATTTGGGGTTTTCTTGGCAAAGATACTGGAGAGTTTTGCCATTTCCTTCTCCTAGCTCATTTTACAGATGAGGAAACTAAGGCAAACAGGGTTAAGTGACTTGCCCAGGGTTATACAGATAGTAAGTGTCTGAGGCCAGATTTAAACTCAGAAAGTCTTCCTAACTCCTGACCAAGCACTCTATCCACAGCACTACCTAGTGCCTTTTGCAATTAGGGAAACTCCCTTTCGTTTCCCACGCTAAGATCCTTCACCTCTGACCACCCTCACCAGCACTGCAGCTGCTACACACCGGGCCGGGGGAAGAATTTTCATGCTTCTTCACCACCATCACTCAGCTACTTCTCCCTTGAGATTCACTACATCCAGATATATCACTCTACCCACATAATGGTGGCTTTGTTTTCCTTCTGGACCCGAGGTCTCTCCTTTTTCAAGGAGTTCAGTACCTGGCTCAGTCTTCTCTTCATTACCTTCATTTATATTTGAGATTTTCAATTTCTATGTTAAATATCATTGGGGACAAATTAATGTTATGTCATTTCAATTGAGCCTCCATTGCTGCATGACAATCTTGTTTACTCTTCCCTGATTGAATCTCTATCCCATTCCCCTCATATCTCTTCTGCTTTTCTTAAGCTACTCCTATGACCCTTTCCCACATTCTCATCCTTTGGGCCTTGCTCTAAACTTCACTTTAAAAAAATTTGTGTCTATCTGTCACCACCTTTCTTTTTTCCCCAACTCTATATTAAAAATCACCTCAACAAAATTCCCTTCCGGATCCTCTTTTCTTCAGTTTTTGAAAAGGTATTCCTTCCTGCAAAATACCTGCCCTTCTACTTATGCCCTTTTATATTGTGCCAGGCACTGTGCTAAGCATGTCACAATTATTATCTCATTTTACCTTCACAACAACCCTGAGAGGTAGGTGCTATTATTATGACCATTTCACAGATAAGGAACCTGAAGCAAGCAGTGGTTAAGGGACTTTCCTAAGGTCATACAACTAAGTATCTGGGGCCAAATTTAAACTCTGGTCTTCCTGACTCCAAGCCCAGCTCTATTTCCACTGTACTATCTAGCTGCCCTAGTAGTGGGACATGAATGTGGGAGTGGGGAGTGGTGGCCTAGATAGAGTACTTAGGATGGTTTACTGAGTTTCAAGGTTTCTCTTTCTTCTCCTCCAAGTATTTAAATCTGCTAGTTTATTGATATATGCAGTATGTTTAGTAAGTGACTTTGTGATTGATTATTCCAGCCTAACAATTGAGTAGTCACCCTGCAGAAAGGAGGCTTATCATAGGGTAGAGTAGTGGATAGAGGGGCAAGGAGGGGTCGGGAGAGGGAAAGGCTTGTCCACTCTAAGAGCTGGGTGCAAGTTTTGTCTTCTGCTCCTAATAGCTGAGCCACCTTGAATGAGTCGCTGAGCCAACTACTAATACCTAGTATTGATTTGATAGCTGGGCCCAGAACTAAAGGTTAAAAAAAAAAAAGCGGGTGTACTGATGACGGCACAGGTAGAAGAATTGAATGGGAAATATAGTCTGGAGCCAGCCAGATATAAATGGCTAGTTGGGTTTATAGTTATATAGATACAGATATATAGTTTATAGCCCAATTAGTAGGGCTGTGGGGCAGCTAGGTGGTGCAATGAGTGGAGCACTGAGCCTGGAGTCAGGAACACTTATCTTCCTGAGTTCAAATTCAGCCTCAGATACTTACTAGCAGTGTGACCCTGGCAAATCACATAACCCTGTTTGCCTCAGTTTCCTCATCTGTAAAATAAGCTAGGAGAGGCAAATGGCAAACTGCTCCAATATCTTTGCCAAGAAAACCCCAAATGGGATCACAAAGAGTCAGACGTGACTGAAAAGTAACTGAACAACAAACTACTTCATGAGATTTCTTATTCACACTGAGGGGACCTAACTGTATTCACTCACCAATGATATAGCTAGGTTCATGTCCGAGGCTTACAAAAACTGATATGGATTTACTCTTTCAGGGACTGGGGTCATTTTTCTGGGGGTCTTATACTTCTTTTAGAAATAGTATATGATACTCTTCAATGCTGAGCCGAATCATTGATGAGTCTGTCTGTACCCCACCAGGGAGGTGGGTTTTTGGTTTACCAAAAAGACCTTGATATGGAGTAGGTTTTAAATGTCTAACTCTATCCTTGCCATAGCCCTACGGGAAGGAGGCTCCATAATAAAGAGATCCCATGGGGCAGGCCAGCGGATGGGGTGGGGCAGGGAGCAGTTAGTGGGGCATCTTTCCTCCTTTCCTTTCTCTCCTTCCTCCCCTCATCCCTGGGCTGCCTGGACCCTATGGGGAGGTCAAATGGAAAGAGCCAACAACAAGGGTAGTTTTCCCTCCTTCCCTTTCCTTTTATCCTCTGAGGGCTTCCAGATCCCATCCAGGGTGGCTGGGCAGGAAGAAATTCGTGGCTTCCCATGGATGCTCTAGGAGTCATTCATCCACTACAATCCTTTTTTTTTTTTTAACATTCTTTTTTTATTTTGAGTTCTAAATTTTCTCTCTTCCTCCAGCTCCTCTCAGACTCATTGAGAAAGCACAAAATATGATATCCATTATATATATGAAGTCATGCAAAACGTTTCCATATTAACCATGTTGCAACAAAAAAAAGGGAAGAAAAATAAAGTGAAAAAATATGCTTCAATTTGCACTCAGAGTCCATCAGTTTTCTCTCTGGAGGTGGAAAGCATTTTTCCTCATGAGTCCTTTGGGATTGTGGATCATTGTGTTCATCAGAGTACCTCAATCCTTCTGATAAGTCAGAGGATCAGCAGGCCTTACCATCTACCCTGCCACAGAATCCTAAGGATCTCTAGGCCATCCTATCTGCCCTGCTGCTACGCCCTTAGGACTCTCCAGCGTTTCCATCTGCTCTGAATCCTGCAGCTGAACTCTTATAAGGCTTGTCTTCCCCAATTAGAATGTGACCTCCTGCTTCTCTGTTTGTACACCCAGTATTTGACA